CTTCCAGTACTCTGGATTTTCTTCTGTGATCAGCTAAATGCTTCTGTTTTCCATGTAGGTCTCTGTATTTTATTCCCATGAGAGATATTTTTCTTTTAAGCATGGCTACTGTGCAGCCACACATACTCAGAATACATCAGGGAATTGGTTTGGGTTTTCTGCTCTAAAGAAATTGTGTTGGCAGAAAATTATTTGCAGTGCTGTGGATTGACAGTATTGTAAGTGTTCCTCCAGTGCTGGCTCAAAATGGGATTTTGTTTAGGCTTTGTAATTAGAACCCATATTCAAATGTCTGCATGTATGCAATATAATTTGTTTTAAGCATGAGCTTAAAAGGTATTTTTGACTTCACCTGGAGGCCTATACAAAAATTAACTAATTGAGTGGATAAACAAGCCAGATGATGCCTGATATAATTTAGCATGTTTAGTCAGTAGTACAACACTGATATGTATGATTTTATTGTTTTCTGTCTTTATAGCAAAAAAAATATTGTTTATTTGTGTTGCTTAGAGTGAAAGAAAGTTCTTGTCTGGCCAACTGAGCTCCCTGAGTTACATAATGGAGTCCTGAAAATGGGAAGATGTTTAAAATGTGCATGTACTTGGTTTGGTTTCTTGGAAACCCTTATACCCTTAGCTAATATGACAACAGAATCACAGAATGGGTCACACTGGAAGGGACCATAGTGGGTCATCTGGTCCAGCCTCCCTGCTCAGGCAGGGCTGTCCTATAACGCATTGCACAGGGTTGTGTCCATAGGGCTTTCAAGTACCTCTGGTAAGGGAGCCTCCACAGTCTCTCTGGGCAGCCTGTTCCAGTGCTTGGTCACCCACATGTCCTGGATATATCACATGTGATGTTCCAGGTGTACCTGATTCCTCAAATAGAGGATCTGTTCCTGAACTGTCCTTGTTCACACCGGTGTAACCCCTCATAACTAAAACAACATAATGAGGATCTCTGCCCGTTATTACCTTGTGTTCCAGCTGATGAACATTCCCATTAATTTAAACAGCAAATTTCATCTTCCCTTTCAAAAACATGCTTCTGTATATGTTTAGGACTTTTTTTTACCTTATGTGGCTTAAATGAGGAATTAGTTTTAGGAAGGGGATTGCTTTAACAATGGTACGGAGTCCTGTGGTTTTGCAGGGTGTGTGGTTCCTTTTGAGTGCTGTGGATGTTCACATGTTCAGGCTTTCATGTGAAATTTTGCAGCAGTTCTTATTAAATACTGATTATTCACAGGATTCAGTATGGTGAATATTTTTATTTTTAAATTACTTCCTCATATTTTCTTATATGAGTTACTGTTTTCATCTGTTTTAGCATTTTGATATCTCCAGGGATGTTATAAAAATAAGATTAATTAATTTTTAAACCTTCAGTTCTATTAGTAAATATTTAAAAGGTATGAGCAGTCTCACTTGTTGCTGATTTTATTTTTGGAAGGAAAGGTTTTGATTGCTCACTTATGTGGTCAGTTTGAAAGTCCTTTTTAAAACATATTAGAGTAGGTACTGTGTAACACAGTGCATTATCAGCAGTCTAGTTATTAAGAATTTATCAAAACTAAGGAAATAATATGCAGAAAGTTGGACACTTCTAATAGCTGTAGACTTAAGATGACTGGGACAATTTATGCTTATTTTATTACAATATTCATTCCACCACCTTAATGCATCAAGAGGTGAAATTTAAAGTGTTTACGTCTTCGATGTCAGCAAATGAAATGGATTTTTTGGCTTCTTTTCTCTTGGTTGTTGTTTTAGATGCCTCTGCTTTCCTTTTCATGGCTGAATCTCTTCCTTCCTCCAGTGCAATTCTTCATTACTCAGAGCAGAATTATCTATGTTCCTATTCAACTGCAAAGATTAGAAACTAACTTTGTTTTTAAAGGGTACCTGATCATCTTACTTCACTGCAGATAACTGGCATTGGGGCTTTAAGAAGAAGCTGCAAATACTGTAAAATTCAGAGCTGAACAGCTAGGAATTTAAACTTAAAATAAAGGTCTTAACAACATTGTCTCATCCATGCACAGCAGAGTAGTGCCTATACTGCTAACCAGGACAGTCTCATATTCAGTTTGGAGCAAAATAAGTGTTCTGAAATGACTATCTATTGTACAGGTTTGGGATTTTACAAATTTTACATGAATTTACATATTTGCTTACATGTCTGTAGCGCTCACTTCCTACGTAACTTTTTATGGTTTTGGCATTAGCACAAGACTTCAGTAAGTCTAATTTTGCTGTCTTTCTTAGTACAGTAAAGTGCTCAATATGTACGTTGATATTCCTATTTGAAACCTAATGAAAGCTGCTTTTTATATTTGATCCTAAACAATGGATTAACTCATATGCCTAAAAATGATGAATGCCCATATCCATCATTTCCTGATGTTTAGACTAGAAAGTTTTATTTTAGGCAGAGAGGCAGAAGTTTGTAGGATTGGGAGTGTTTTACATTGGTGTCCCTAGAGATTTTATATATATAGAGGTTAGTGTAGATAGAGCTTCTTGGCTCCATCCATCCATCCATCCATCCATCCATCCATCCATCCATCCATCCATCCATCATCTTTCCTTGAGAACACATGCTGTTTGAAAGAGGAGTTTGAAGTCTGGTTAGCCATAAATATTAATTAAATTCTTGGTGTGGGTTCTTGCTTTCAAAGTCATAATAACTGTTGCCTTGTGCTCAGTGGGCCAGCTCACAGTGGTTATTGTAGAGGGCAATGAATGATGTTTATTTATGCTGTGTGCCTGACCACATCTGGGGGTGAGAACATGCTGGCAGCTAATTGGCCTGGCAAATGGTCAGGCTGCTACAAAGCAGTGGCTTGTCCTAGGCAGGAAAATAAAATCTCAGGCAACTGCCATCCCTTGCTCTTATTGATGGTTCCTGGTGGAAATGACAGACATTAGCTGTGGATGTGATACTGAGATCTGCTCTTACTGTATGGATTTCTTTCAGTGAATATCTTAGATCAGTTTGCTGTTATTAACACCTTGTGAATTAATCTCATCCCCAGGGACTCATGTTAATTGCTAGTTTGTAGAGTTACGTTCATCTGTGTTTGCTCTCCTTTTTGTCCTGAGACACTTGCATGCTTAACTTTAGAACTGATCCTGTTAGTGAATGTTGAGGACAAACAGTCCAGCTGGGGAGTCTGTGTTATGTGCCTTGGCTGGTATCGAGCAATTTCCTGAAAGTGGTGCTGATGCTGCCTTTAAAGAGCTCAGAACTTTGGGTGTCTTTGAGCTCGAGGGAACCACAATCACCAAAAATGAGAGAATTGCAATAATTCTTCAGTGAGGGGACAGCAAAGAACACAGTTTGAATTTTTATGCTACTTATGTGTACTAAGCTACCTTCCTCAGAGCCTGAGCCCTGCAGGTACTGCCTGTCCCTGCAGACTGCTGTGTGCCTGTGCTGGACCAGGCAGTTGTCTTCATTCCAAGCTTAGTAGCACTTGTGGGAGGAGTTGAAGAGGCTTTCACTCCTTAAAAACCCAGGATACATTTAAGTAGATCAAAGCAAAAGGAATAGGAGGAGAAATGACACTGTTTGGATTGGTGACAAACTGATTGTTCCAAAAGTTGTGAGGATGTGATTGACAGCCTAACAAGACATCCTTCCCATGGCTACTTGAAGTTGATGTTAGCAGGAGGGAGGAATAAAGTTTGTATGTCCTGTTAAATCATTTTGGTGATAGGGAGGTTTGAAAGCAGAAAACTTGAATGTTATTTGAATGGCTGTTAGCATGCAAAATGACCTGATGAACAAGTTCAAATAACACAGCAGATTGTGGTAATAAGTAGCCATGTGATGGAGAATGGCTTCTGGGGGCTTCTGGACCCTTCTGGTTTTGAAAATCAGTTTGTGGCACCTGACAGTGCAAAGAACACCTGCGGAACATTGAGGCTATGCTGTTGATTTCAAAGCTAGGTGTAAGAATTATCATGGCTCCCCCTCTTGTCTCACTATACATAACATCTATGAGTAGAAAATAGATTCTATTTTAAAAAAAGCAATCCCATCATATGTTTTCCATCTTTCTTTGTATTTGTATGAGTTCTCTGTAAATTTCAGAGAATATATATGTCTGTATATTTTAAAATATTCCTTTTTCTTAAAACAAATTTATTACTAATATTTATTTATTTTTGGAAGAGCATGTGAATGTTGTTTATTCTACTTTTTTAAGGTATGTAAAATAGGCAAACAGAGGACAGTTGTATTAATACTGGGTGGGTAAGAAAATGTAAATTAAGTAAATGTAAATGAAATAGGCCTTTAGCTTTATTTTTGACAACTCTGAGTGCTTTGTGATATTGCTTAGAAAACCAGATGCCTTGCAAGCTTTTTGTAAACAATGTATAGAAAAAGGGATGCCTTGTTCTGTTATTCAAGAAACAGTGGGGAAAAAAGTCATGCTTATGCAATCAGGAATTTGGTGGTGTAAAAAGAGAAGGGAAAATATGGTAGCTTAAAAGCTTGATATGGGATTACAGTTGTTTTTAGCACTTGATGGTTAAGTGTCTTTTACTGCTCTGTCTCTAAACTCTCATAACTCATAATTTAGCTGCTAATTCAATTGTGTGATGATTAATTGTCATGAACAATTCCTTGAAGAGCACTATAAATTTCATTTTCATTTCTCTGCTAACTGTAGCAGTTTTTACTTCCTGTTATTTGTGTGTTGGTCACCCAGTGATGTATGTGATGAATATATACCAAAAAGGTGCATATGCAAAATATAGTCGGCAGATATATTTGCTAGAAAACCTTTTAGACCTCACTTTTACATGCAGAAGACTGTGCTGTTCCTCTGATTCACTGCTGAATTGTCACCATTTTTTTCCTCTTGTATTAAGTAGAAAATGTATGATGAACAGATTAAGATGAGATGATTTTTCTCTCTGACAGTACTGTTCTATGAATAACTGTAAATCTTGTTTTCTCCCCTTCCTCCCTCGCATCCATAACAGCTAGCCGATGGCGGAGCCTCTTCTCTACGCCTGTCTCCTTGGCTTTTCCCTATAGTCCTGTTGCAAGACTCACCCCATATACCAATGGCTGTAATAGTCCCAGCTTCTCTAAAACTTCCAGTAAAGCAATACTAACACCTGAGCGGACAGGTAATGCTTATCTTTTTATTGATTTACGGTGCTTACAAAAGTGCTTGATTGTATCTAATCCTGCTAGCATTTAACAGCAATACTCTTTTTAGATGATTGTATATGAACTCATATCTCAGAGGGAAATTGGAGTTTTGGGCTTTTTTTTAATGCCCTAAAATTTGGCTGTTAACTACAAGTGTTATGCAGCATGTTACAGGAGAGTGATACTAGTAAATACCACTAATGATTTACCCAGTAGTACAGTTGTGACTGTGTCAGCTTCAACAGTCCCCAGCTTTGTTGCTCATTTCTGCCCCATGGTGCCCCTTCCTTGTGTCCACAGAAACATATGTACAGCTGTGTAATGAAATTGGCAGTGAGAATCTATAATAGAAGAGCTGGCAGAATCATGCCTGTTTTCAAGCTGATATTGTTGCTTATGTTCAAGATTTGTTTTATGTTTTCCACTATTTTTCAGGGTACACACAAGTTCTAGGAAAATAGAAAACTTTCTGTGGTCTATAAATTGCAAGGATTTTCATTTTCCTTCTTCACTACAGATATCAGGAGTCAGTTTGTATCTGTGACTGCCCTTAAACTGCAGTGGCAGTGGAGAAAACAATCTGCTGGGTGAAAGGCAGTTACGTTTTATTGCTGGCAGGAGCAGGCATGGGCTGATGATCAGTGTCACACCCATCTGTGTGCAGTGTTCCTTACAATGCTTGAAATCACTGCAGAAATTCCTATTTTAAGGGATATGAGCACTGTGGGTGAGAAACAGCTCCAGACAGAGAGCCTGCTGTAGCTGTCTGCTTGTGAGTGAAACATGTTCCCTATTCAGTGGCATGAAACCTAGTTGCTAAATGAACTCATGCTATTTGAGGTACCCTCAGGTACCTTTTCTAACTTCCCTCTGCAGCTCCAAAAGAGCACAGCTGTTACTACCTCTGCAGAACCTCAGGGACTGCTCTAACTTTCATATTTAATAAAGCAAACATATTTACTCCATACAATCCTTCCAAAACAAAGTAATCCCCTGCTTATCCTTTTCTTTTGGAGATATTATTAGAAAATAGCTGAATTTAGGATGAATTTTAGGTGGCTGCTTTCAGCAGTGCTAGAGGATGCAGACACACCTATGATACAAGCACAGCTGGTGAGCCATAGTCACAGCAGTTTTTGCCCTGCAGGCTGTGGGTCTCTGGTGGTCCACAGGACATTAGAAAATTATTTACTGTTTTAGTTTATGGGATTTTTCTTTAAAGTTGGGCAACGACTAGCTCATGCAGCTAATTGCAGGTTAGTTTATATTTTACTATTACACTCGGGGGAAAAAGTGTAATCTAGAGCCTTTCAAAAAGGTAGCTCTGTGAAGAAAGTAATGCTTTCTCTGTTGCATAATGTTCGACCCTAATTGTTACTGAGATTGAGTTATATGATAATTATATATAGTTTAAAAAAAGAATTGTAAAATTTAGCTAAATGGCATTTGAGTATTGAGCAGATGTCAGTGACACATATCCACTTGTTTTTCAAAACAGAGTAGGGAGAACCACAGTCCCATAAGAGAGTTGCAAATGCAGATTTTGGTTAGACTATACTAATCTGAGCTGTATCAGAGCAGTATTGGGTAAATTATTCATTGTCTGGGCTATGCAATGCTATTTTGGGAACAAGCCAAGGAATTCATGATCCATTCCTACACTTACTACTTCTCATGAATATCAAAGCTCTTTGCTAATTGTTAGTGAATTTCACTACACTTCTGTAAGTTTTTATGTGCTATTCAGAAAATGTTTTAAGCTACTGTAATGTAAATTCAGATGATTCTGAATGAAGTTGGCCATATTTGTAGCCTAAAGTGTATGCTTTCTTACTTAGGGTACATTTCTAGGAGTTCCCCTTTGAGTCCACAGTCATCGATAGACAGTGAACTGAGCACTTCGGAGCTGGAGGATGATTCCATCTCCATGGGGTACAAGCTGCAGGACCTCACTGATGTTCAGATCATGGCTCGTCTACAGGAGGAGAGTAGGTGGCACTTTTTTGGTTTTCATAACAGTCTGAGGAAGACTTCTCATTATAGTTAAAACTGCTCCAGTCTGGTCTCAGTGAAGTAAATATTTTTTAAGTTGTATTGCCTCTTGAGTGGCAAGTGGAAGTACTCTTCACCTGCATGGAGAAGGTGTGCATGTTGTTGGGTTCATGTTAATCTGAACTGGTACTGGATCTTTCAAAATCTGATGTTTATGTTTTCCTGAATATTAATTGAACTAATTTAATTTCTGGACAGGGAAGATCCTAAAGCATTTTTTCTCATACATGCATTTAATGAGAAAGGTAAAAATAAGCAGCTCTCTTGGCTTTCTTTGCCTCCACTTCGATTTTCTTATATTTTCAGATGAGTTTTGAAATGAAATACCACTTAAATACAGAATTGGGGCTTTTAAATTCAATATCTTGGTTTAAAACTAGTAATTATGCACAAATCTGAGTCTAAAGTCTTCTTTGACATAGATTTTAGTTGGGCTTAATAGTAATTTTTGTAAAATGCCTTTATTAATAAATAAAAGGCATTTGACTTAGAGGTTACTGAGACATTAAGTGGAGTATTTCGCCCGTATCCTGTTAGTGCCAAGTGAGATATCAAGGAGGAAGTGATGAGATTAAAAGCAAGAGAAATTCACAGACGGGGCCTGAATGAAAATGCCAAGTAATAAGTGATTTTATAAATCAAAAATAATAAAATGAGAAAAAAAAATTAGAGCCATGATCTGGCTGAAGCCACCAGACTGGGCAGGCAGTGTGATCACCTGCCAGCAGGAGAGCTTGCTGAATATCTGGTGGGACGCATCATGTTCAGCAGAGAAATTAACAAGTGTTCTAATTTTAAAAAGAAAAAAAGTTATGACTGTCAGGGTTACAAAGGATTGCATTATTTAAATGACAGCTGTGCTCATCTCCTTCAGAGTGAGGTTTAAAAAATACTTCAGGTACTGAGCTCTTTGAGGAATCAGGGCATTGGCAGACTGGAAAGAAAAATGCTGGTTTCTCTTCAAATCTGTGTCATGTGCAATTGATTGTATGTCATCCTTGTAGTAGCAGCTGGTGGAGAATGTTTGAGCACGTGACAGTTGTTGACCACTTAACCCTGTGGAAAGTGGCAGTTCGAGACGTGCGCGCAGGCACGCTCTCCTCACAGCCACAAATAGAAACTCCCACTTGAGGAGAGGGAGAGGAAGCATATTAAGAAGTTTGCATTATGAAGCAAAGACATCTGTTAAAAATTAGGGCTTCTTGAAGGTCTAGGAAGGTTGTTATCTGCAGCTACTTCAGAGTTACTTGTCTCCTGGAAGTGCAGTGTTTTTTCCTTGGTTGCTGTGCATCTGGAGAAATGAGGGATGTGCAAGTGAAGTAAATGTTTCCCTCTCACTTGATCTGGAGCAAACAGGCTCTTCCAGGGTAGTGCTTATTGTAAGATGGTTTTCAAAACCTGACATTCTGAGAAGAGGGTGTACTGTGTAAAATACAGTCTGAGAAGATTGTGTACCTGTGTAAAATACAGTTGTGTTACCGCTAAGCCTTGTCCATGGGACTGGATGCTATCAGGAAGTAATTCTTGTTCAGAGAGTTTGGAGAGCCAGAAGATTTAGGTGGGTTGTAGGCTTAAGAAATGTCATTGTAAACATTTTTGTTGCACGAATACAAATGTTCAATAGCAACAGCTTGGAAAACTAATGTGGGTGTAATTCCTCTGATTAAGAGTATTGAAAAGTTAAAAACTTAGTGCTCATGTAATCCTTATTGGCAGAGAAATGTGTGCCTCCTGGGAGTGATTCCTCTTAGGAAAGGCATCTAAGACATTGTCTGGGGACTCCTGTATTCTTTATTAGTATTTTATTTTAAAAAAAAATTCAAGGAGAGAATTCAGGCTTAGATGCCTGAAAGGTGGATCCGATGAATCCTACATCAGATCCTCATCCTGATTACATTTTAAATTCAATTCTTCATGTAAAATTCTGTCTACTTACCTGTGCAGTTTTCAAGATTGAAGTGCATATTTAGAGTTAATCACTTAGCAGAAGCTGAATCATCCTCCTCTTGGAATTTACAGGCCTTAGGCAAGATTATGCTTCAACTTCAGCATCTGTGTCAAGGCACACTTCCAGTGTTTCTCTGAACGCGGGGAAAAAAGGGACATGCAGTGACCAGGAGTATGATCGCTATAGTCTTGAGGATGAGGAAGAGTTTGACCACCTCCCACCTCCGCAGCCACGTCTGACTCGCTGCTCCCCCTTCCAGAGAGGGATTCCTCACTCACAGACTTTCTCCAGTATCCGGGACTGCAGGAGGAGCCCTACTTCCCCACAATTCCCTACAAATACCTATCAGCAGCCCTTCTACTCTCCTCAAGCCCAAACTCCAGAGCAGCAACCAAATAGGATTAATGGAGGTGGGTTGCATGCTTTTCTGAGAAGTGATCTTTTCTTTGCCAAGTGCCAGTGCCGTTTTAAAGATGAATTGTACACAAATTGTGACAAACATTGTGACAGTTTAAGCCTGTGTAAATGATGAAGGGATGTTATTGTTAAGCAGTTTTCTACAAAATGTAATCTGTGACCTGATCATGACAGTTGTGGCTTTGGTCTGTTTTAAAACGTTGAAAAGATGACCACAAGTGAAGAAAGAAACAGAAAGTAAAGCTGAGCATGTTTTAGCAGGCTAATAGTTGGCTGGAAGAACCTCTGGGGCTTTCAAGCTTGATTTACACATGTCCATTCTGGATGCAGTAAAATACAGATCTGGATTTTCAGATTTTAATTTTATTTCTTATTCCTGAGTTTGCTGTTAATGCAGCTGTGCTGTGATGAGTGCTTATGGCCCTTTGCTTCTGTTCCAGGTCTGATAGGGCTGATTGTTAAAGTAGTTGGAGATAATGTCACTCCCAAATTATCCTGAGTTATTGCTGCTTTTTTGCACTGCATTTGAGATACATTCCAGAATATGGAAGATTTGTATCTCGATGCTTACTCACGATTTAAGTTTCCCTCCATTTTTGCTGTTAACTTCTTTTCTTTCCTTATTATGATCACAATTTTTCTTCTTTCTGCTGCATTTTACTTTCCTATACCTTCAGTCTTTCCCCCAAGTTAATTCTTAACAATCCATTTCCAGCCATAGTCTTGTTTGTAACATTGTAGGTTACAGCTCACCCTTGGGCAAGAAAATAAATGTGATGTTCAAAACAACATATAGTTGCTATTTATGGTGCTACAGGTATGCATGTTGCATTTCTGACAAACAAGACATGACAGGTTGGTGCCCAAACCACTTCTATTCAAAGTAAGCCCTGGCATGGAAGTATAATTGACAAGTGACAATATAGAAGGAGAGGTGATGTTAACAGAGGGTAGAGCAGCGTGGGTGTCTGTTGGTACAGCATTTGTGCCATATTAATTTTAATGTTACTTCTCTTGTCAGGGAGGTACAAGAGTGGGACAGCATTGCTGGGCTTGCAGAAATGTCGGCAGTTTGAAGGGAAACCTTTGGGACATTTTTGTTCAGGAATAAGAGAATGATTTGTTGCTGCCATGTTTTTATGTGGCTCCCAAATATGTTTTGAATGGTTTTTTTAATGTTCCATGTCAGTGGAACTTAAAGCATTGGATTTCCTGCATGGAAAGGCATGAAAACCTTTAAGGTACTAAAAACATTAGACTCTTAGTTTATTAACTGTGAAGTGTATACATGTAAAAGACTACCAGTTTTATCACCTGGTTGACTTTTTTCTCAAGGTCTTTGAGGTGTTGGATAATGTGTTTGGCATAACCCAGAAGCTGGGGGATGTGACTTCAGTTACCTGTTTGCAGGATTAACAGTGCTATAATAGTACCACTGTCTTTAGGAGGGAATGACCTCCTCAGCTTCTACACCTTCAGCCTCTAACACATGAAACTCTGATCCACATAAGTGACAAATACTGATGGTGAGAAACATTTGTTTGACTGTGTTCTTTTGGCAGACAAGGAGATAAGGAGTCAAGTGTTCACTGTACTGAGGATGTCTGTGTAGTATTACATCTTATCAGCACTTACCATCTTGGCAACAATTTCAGTGTCTCTCAAGAATTCCTGCACATTGAAATGGAGGTAGACTGCATAACAAGAATTTGTCTGTAGCTGTCTGTGATGGATGGTGTGTTAGTTTACACTGTTAGTTTACAAGGGCAGTTGAGAAGGAAGGATGTGGAAGATGGCAAAACTGAACCTTTAGTTTCTGCCTTCAGAATATGTGGAAAGCATGATCCATTATTAATAATTAAGTCACACATACCACAAGACTGCTCTTGGCCATTCCAGCAGTCTTCCTGAATCTTTATCCTTTTGTCTTCTCCCAGAGAGATCACTTTTGTTCATGTATGTGCAGTCAGGGGTCTGGCCTCTGCTTCATCTGGACATTCACAGAGCTTTTCATAAAAGAAGAACAAGCAGCAAGTAACTGCTGAATTTGGACACTCAGTCTAGGGTAAAAAACCCAGTATTTAGCTTTGAACACAGTATTTCTAGTGTGTCATAGTCTACATATTTAGCTTAATTACAATTTTTTGCCTTTAGGCAAATAGTTTGAGGGATGCTGCTCTACTTGCTTTGGTGAACTTGGTTTGGCATGGTCCTCTAGGTGAGGTACTTAATTACCTGCATGTGAAAAATATGGTGAAGGTGTGATAAGCCTGGAAAACTTCCATAATTCTTTTAGGAGTATAGTATTGTTTGCCTGATGAGAAGCACCTACATTTAAGTGCTGAGATATGGGTGCCCACCTCTGTATGAAGGGCCCAATTCTGCTGTCCAGGTAGAATTGCATGAGGTGCTTTGCTGCACCCTGGCTTCACCATCACCCTGTGTCAATACTGTTTAGCTTCCATAAACAGCCCAGGATCTGTGGGATGCCATGAGGTACCTTCACATAGGCACTGACTTGTGCACCAGGTGTCTGGTCTCTCACTGTACCTTGTTCTCCATTCACAGGATTATATTTTAGGTAGCACATAAATGGTTTGCAGTTTCTGGTCCTCTAGTGATCTTCTGCCTTTCCTGGGAGTGAGAATAGTTTCTCAGATGTTTTCCAGCTGTGTCTGAAGCTATACTTCAGTGAGCTCATGCATTGTTCTTGCCAATGTATTGTACCAAAGTGCTGCCCCTGCTGTAATATTGACACTCTGCCCTGTTTTAAATTGCTGTACATCTATTTGAAGATAAAATGACATACTTCTGGACCACACCACACCATGTTACCCCCACTCTCAGATCCAGGTTCTTTATCTCACCTTATTCCACTCATGCCTGAATGAATGGTGTCAGTCACATTTACTGCCAGCCCCCACCAGCTTGCTGTACGGGAAGGCTCCTGGTAAAACACTAGTGTAAAGTGGTGGGTGTGTGCCAGTCTTAATATGTTTAGATATGAAATATATTGCAGTGTGTTTAAGGTGTATGTGGGGCCACTCCCAGCATGAGCTGTAGGTGTACTGGTTGTTACTTTTAAACAACATTTTCACAGCCATTATGTTTATGTATTTATGTTATCTTTGCTTTCTAATAGGTTTTATTGCCAGTTCTGGCAAGAATATAAATAAGCTTTGTGTGAAATCTGTGTGGATTTGTTTTCCTTGTTGAATTACACCTTTCTAAATCAGCTGAATTTTCTGTAATGATGAGTTACATCAGAAAAATTACATTTGTTAACTTTTTAAGGTATCCTGATTTTTGGGGATTTTGTAATTGGTCGATGGGTCAGAAAATAGATAATTTAAAGAAAAACTGAGAGAGATAGGGTGTGAACAGCTTTTGAGCTATCTGTTTCAATTAACTTAAGTGAATTTGTCTAGTTAGTGAGTGTTTTATACTTAAATAATGTTTTTAATATGTTTGCAGTGGAAAGATTTATGCTTATGTCTCTCTCCCCTTAGTCTAATTTGAAGAAGTTACTATTTAGCAACTTAAAATGCTGCTAACTATTAATATCCAGAATACTTTATATATAATCATTTTCATAGAAGAAATACCACAGAAAGTCATAAAACCAAGCTGATTTCTGCTTTATATTGTCCATAAGTATACATTCTTTTTGTTACTTTGATGCAAAAGTAACTGCCCTCACTTCAAATTTTAAAATATTTATTCTATTTCTGTTTAATAATTTTATTAATTAGCTGATAATATTTTTGCCCTTTATGCTTCTGATTTTCTGAAACCAGAAGTAATGGTTAACTGTAGTACTGGGAAATCATCCAGAGTAATCAAAACCCAGATGACAAGATACTGAAAATGGAATTGATTTTCTTGTGTTCAGGCCTACTTTCTATCTCTTGAGATCAGCTTGCTCACAACCTTTTATCCTGGCAGACAAAAGATATTGTAGATATTTTATGTAGATTTTAAATTGTCCATTTTTATAATATGTGAAAATTGGAAACTTTGTATTTTGGATAAATTATTCCAGGTAATGAAGGAGTTTATTATAATACAGTAAGAAGAGGTGGATGAAAAATATATGGTTCATGGAGTCGCATCGCATTCAGTCTGATTAATCTTACTGTATATTTCCTATTTCCTTTTCATGTTGTTTTTTAAGTTTTTGGCTTGGCATAAACCTTCCTAAAAAAGCCAGATACCATTCACCTGAAAAAATTTGCTTTTCCAGAAATTACTAGTTATGAGTAACTTTCTCGCCTATGCTTCAAAAATATTTGGGACATCATTGGCAGTTGCCCCATTTTGAAAGCTGCAGTTGTGGTTTCAGTTTGTTGGTTGGGTTTTTTAAGCAAACTCCAGGCAGACATAGAAGAGGAGCAGTACATTGTGTTTAGATACAGGTTCAGTATAGACTTACGAGGTGTTCTCTGCTCATAACCTCTCTTGCTCAATAAGAAAGGAAAAATTCTTTCTAGGAGATTGTTGCAGACTTCATTACAGAAAAGGACTAAAACAATATTACTTTGCTGCCTTTGGATTATATGGAGGACAGTGATCAGTGGGAGAACTCATGGAAGGCTAATGGAAAAATCTTTAATTGGCTCTATCTGTGGCGGGAGACATATGCATGTGGAGCCAGGATGAGATGAAGTAATAATTCTGATTAAAATGGAGGTATTGACATTATTGAGAATGACATCACTCACTTAACTCAAGGTCTTGCTTTAATCTGTATCTGTGCTTTTACACACTGATGTCTCTGTTGTATCAGCTTGTGATTCCACAGACCATTAAAGAGACCCTGGTGTATTTGGGATGTTACAAATGCTATAACTGTGACAAATGTAATGCAGATACTTATCTCACATCCTCAGAGATGAGGAAGAGAAATTAATCCCATAAAATGAAGTTGTAATAGAGTCTACAAGAGAAGTCTACAAATTTATTAAGGATTTCAGAACACACTCTGAATGTCTACATAATACAGAACATAATATTTAAAATCAAGAAGCACAGGTTTTTTCCTTATAGCTTTACCCTGACCTCTTTGTACATACAATACATGTAAAGCACAATTGAACTTGCAGGATTTCTGTGAAAGATTTAAATATATGTGAGAAACTGCTAAAGTAGCTCAGACAGTGTTACAGATTTCTCTGAGACACCAGTACTTCTGATTCACTGTATTACATTTCTGTGCTTTTGGTGAGGTTTGGGAGTCCATTTGTTCAAATAAAACATTGACAACACTTGCAGAGAATAACTGTGAAGGAATAAAAGTGTTTTAAGAAACTTCACTGTAGAGTCAACTTAAGCCCTCCCTGCAAGGAGAACCTCATTGGATGAGGCATTTTGGCCAATTGAAGATGATACCAACCAAGGACTGCTACAGAAGTCCCCATCTGGCAGCCCACCAAGAGTGCACCTCTTCTGGAGCAGCTTTGCTCTGAGGACAAGGTCTGTTTGCGTGCTACATGGAATTAATCTTCGGCCAGTGATAGTATCAGGTCAGGGAAGGGAGAAGGAAAGCAGCAGTGGAACGGGGACAGCCACCAGCGGTGCGGGGATCAGAAGACAGAAGGCAGATGCTGCCTGTTCTGGTGTCCTGCCAGAAGGAAGCTGTGCCACTGATCCTGAGCTGACTTCAGAGAAGAAATAGCATCAGGGGAAGAACTTCCTGGCAAAAAATCAGAACTGAGGCAGCAGCTGGGTGAGAGGCGAACTCTTGTCTTCACTGTAATTTTGTGGAATGTTTGACAAAGAAGGGACACCTTTTCCTGCTTTTTGACCTGTTTCTAGTAGTAGTGAATATGATCTGTGCTATGGGGTGGCCTTTTCATGTACATTTTCAGTTGAGGGTATAGGATCTGTATTTCACAGTTCCCTGCTTTTCTTGTGCTGTAGAGGCAATGGGCTAATTCAGCATGGATGCCACAAGTGGGGAAAAGTGTAAACATGCAGTAGGCAGTTCTACTGCAGATATGTGAAAGGGCAACATATGCTTCCTAAAGAAAGCTCATGAAATTACAGGCACGTGTGTATATGCATGAATTATTCTTAGAAGGTGGTAAGAGCCAGGAGCCAATTATTAACTCCCCTTGCATGACCTATCCTTTTGTAGATGTGAATTTTCTTCACATGTACAAATACCTCAACAATACAATGTCTGAAGGTCATAATATTTTATCTCAAAGAAGGCTGGGAAAAGGCAAAGATACACCTGTGATGCTTTACATGGCTGCATTCTACTTAAGCACCATATTTTTTTCAGCCTAAGTTATAGTTGAGACTCAGTAGTGGGTCACAGTAACAACTATGGTTGGTGTTGGAGATCGTCAGCTCCAGTCTTTGACTGACAACCACCTTACCAGCTAGACCATGGCACCAAATGCCACATCCAGTAATTTCTTGAACAGGTGTAGGTCCTTTGAAGTCTCTTACTGGTGTTACTATCCACTTCTTCCTAAAAAACCAGCTGCAAGCAACTGATGATAGTTTTAGGTTTGTCACTGAACCAGATTAGCACAGAAGAGGTAGCAGAAACTGTAGCAAATTCCAGTGTTCATCACAAAGAGGATGTTTGAGCAAATTAATTCTCAACTGAGAATACATCTCTATTCCATCTCCTCTCTAATCATTTTCTCGTCAGTCTTAGGACAGCAAAGAAGTCTGAAAAGTGAAGCAGCTTGGAAAAATATTTTTTTTTCTTCTCATAAATTTTCAGCAAGTTCATATCTATTCACATGTCAGTGGCCTGAAATTGTATTAAAATCACTTAATTCCCACCTTCTGGTTCCATGTATTAAGCTCACAAGAGCCATCGTTTCATTTACAAACAAAACGTTTCTAAGACTCTTTCTACTGTTCTTAGGAGGGAAGCAGGTGACAGAACAAACTTCAAGAAGGAGATGAAAGAGGATGCATCATCTGCAGAGATGAAAGCTGCAAAATGCCATCAAGGCGAACGTTTCTGGGTTTTCTCCAAACACAGAACTGACCCGCTATTTTCATTGCTTTTCAGGGCCATTTATCTCAGCAGACACAAGGACCCATCAAAGAAGTAACATAGCTGCTTGATGGATGAGAATTTGCAGGTGCAGCAGGAATCTGTTGCCTGAGGAGTGAATGAATCAGCAGCAGAGCAAACTGCTGGAACAAGAAGGGACTAATGAACAGGAGGCAAAAGACGTGGCCACCCAAGACATGGAGGAAATCCGAGCTACTTCTGTACCTATTTTTCTGCTATTGTGGCTGCATCCACTGGAGAGTTCAAGGCACAAATAATGCCTGGGCTGGCTGATGCAGTCTCTAAGTGGAAGAGCATGTAGAGTCCAAAGAATTCTGCTATAAAACATGATACTTAAAAAGCTATTTTATGCAGTGCTGTCTTTCCTACTGCCATCCTGCTGCTCAGACCTTTCTTTGCCAAGTTCTGTGATGTTGAATCAGGATTTCAAAACCTAGGACTTTGAAAGGGTAGACTAGGACTCCAGAATTAACTGTAGCTACAGACATCCCATACTCGTGATTTTTTTTGTCACTCTTGCCCAAGGATTGCATCACAGGGTGACAGTTCCCTCTTCAGTTTGCAGAATTCTTAAATATTTTAGAGATGGATACATACAGTAGCTGTATGGGTGCTATTGTTTGCATCCCCAGGACAGTTTTGGAAGCCTGATAACTGTTTTATCATTGTTACATCACTGATATTAATACTCACTACCTGGCTGCACCACAGTGGCGATCCCCTTGCTGTTCATTGCTGTACCACTGACTGAGTTTCAATCAGTTGTTAGTCACTGTACCACTGACTGAGTTTCAATCAGTTGTTAGTCACTGAAGCACAATTCTGACTTGTTTCGTGAAAGATTGTCTGTACTGTAGTTCTTTATTAGGATTTGACTGTACTCTGGATTCCAGGGATTCAAACCTTACATTTCCTATTCCTGCTGGAGATACAACCTTTCTGTGACACAGGTTGCTGGAGTTATGTAGGCATCACATATATTGAAGTTACTGTCAGTGACTCCTTATAACTTGTATAGATAGAACTGTACTGTCATGTCTTACTACTTTTCACTTGTTAGCAGCTTTAAGGATTAGATGAGCTAATAATGGTGCTAAATAGGTTGTATATTTATGTGGACTGATCAACAGAGATTTCTAAATAAATCTGCAGTTTCTGTGAACTGAACTTACCCTTTATGAGCCAGGAGGTTGACCCATGCCAGCAGTTCCAAGCAGTATGCTGTGTTGTTCCTGTGCATAAAACCAGAGCATCAGTCTGGAAATGCCCTGCTCTCTGTGAGAGAGAGCACTTGTAGCTGCTGTGACAAGACAAGCTTTCTGTTGCAGTGTGAGAAGTGTCTTTCTGTCACCTGCCAGCCTTTGAAACCTGTGTGGAACAGGAGCTGGTGATCTCTGTGCCGACCATGCTGTGAGGGGCGACGCAGCCACCTCGGCAGGGCACACACTTGTGCTTCTGAACCTGGCCAAGAGGCAAACCTCGGTGATGTTGTCAGTGACAATTGAATAAATGCCCCTTGTTTTCCCACAGCAGTGCTTTACTGAAGTCTGCCATGTCACAGGACCAGGTCCTTCAGTCTGTGCCTTTCTCCCAGTCCCTTCTGATTGCACATAACTGAGTCATCTCCCTTTGGCCTGATGGCAGAAGAGACCAGAAGAGTTTTCCCTTAGATTCCCTCATGGTGGTGTGATTGGGAAGATGCCTTGAGATGTCAGGAAGGTTTCAGTTCCTCTCTTCAAATGAGCTGGTGTGACTGGGATTGAAGATGTCTTCTGACCACTTAAGACACTTGCTTAGCTGTTGTACCTGCCCCAAAAGCATCTGGGGCATTTGCAGCTTTCTTTTTGTGAAAAGCCCTACAAAAAACCTTACTCTGAAAATGCCTACCAAATCAGGTACCACAAGTGAGGTAGGAGGGAGAAACACCAAATTTGAAAATTCTTATATCGTCCCAGGGCTCCAAGCAACTGAACAGAATCAAGACTTTGCAGTTTTTGCAAGTGGCTGCCTGCAGAAACTTAACATGCTAACAAGGTTAGGTTCTGGATGGAGTTACTTAGCATCTTACTGGCACCTGAAAGCAAGACTTCAGTCACTTAGGATAGATTTCTCACCTGTCTTTCGGCATCCATAGAGTACATAGCTGTGTCTGACTGCCAGTGCAGACTTGCTTTTGTATTCACTGCAAAGAAACAGGCACATTTAGGGCATGGTTCACCTGACCTACTTTACACATCTGTGTGAAACTCATCATTATTTATTGTTTAAGTCCTTGCAGTTCTGCTAATGTACTGCTTATTGGGTTCTTTAAAATTACTTGTGAATAATCATGCTGTTACAATAGACATAATGGTTCAATTTGAAAACTGTCAGTAACATATTCATATTCTTCTGGTAGAGCAAAACCTCTCTTTTTGTTGAAATAGTTTGTTATAATTCTGATTTTCTGCAGGAGTGATGCTGAGGCTGCTTGTGTTTGTTGGAAGTTCTGACCTGACTGTGGGTGTTGTCTTCTTTTGCTGCAGACAAACTCCGCAGAAGCATGCCTAACCTCGCTCGGATGCCAAGCACCCCCACCATCAGCAGCACCCCTGGCTTTGCTGGTTCTCCCGTCACTGTGAGGAATAGCCAGAGCTTTGACTCCAATTTGCATGGAGCCAGTAATGGGATTTCAAGGATGCAGTCATGTAGTAAGTACCTGTGTTCTTCACCTGAGCACAAGAGATGGAGAAAGTGGTAGAATACACGTCCTGGTCACTGATCTTTTGTTCTATGAAAAATTAAAAGCAAACTGCTCTTTTGCACCAGATTTTAATAAACTTCAGGATTTTCAAAATTACTGTTTTGGAAAGCAAATTCTGCCACTCTTGTTATTGAAAGTTGTTTCACATTTTTTTTTCCTTTGCCCATTTATCTTGTGCTAGCATTAAAACTGAAATAATAATAATAAATAGTAATATTGTAGAAACACCAAAAATGCAATTAATTCATGTGAGCTCACATTTTTAGTTTTGATACTACAATTGAAAACTGCTTTTCTTGGTAATTTATACAATACTGGTTCTACTCTGTAGAAACACTATCTTAAAATACATGACCTCTCTCCTACTGAAGTTGAGCCACTTTCTTCTGAGGAAATGCAGTAAAAAGAGGGTTATATTCTCAAGTATAATATACTTGTTGAGTGGGGGAATTAAAATTTCTCTGTAATTGGTTTAATTTAGGTAACTTCCTGATGGGGGGGATGAAGGGAGTATTGAATCTAGTAGCTGACATATTAATTAATTATTAAATAGTGTGTGAGCAAGATAGTTGAAGATCCAAACCCATCTTTTCTAGCACAGTAGTTGAGGTTCTTGAGTGGAAATGGGAGAAGTGGATTTCACTGGACACAGGCAGAAGCCTGTGGAAAAAGAGGAAGACATAAGTAATGTGGGAAGAAGGGATTTAACTTGTGCTCTCCATTTCCTGTGAGGTTTTGGAGGGAGCAGTTGGCAAAAGCTTGTTGTGGGTCTTTTCTTTCAAAGTTGAGCACAAGTTATAAATATCTTCAATTAAATTGCGTATTTTCTGGAAAATATTCTTGACTGATGGGTTGTTTGGTTGTATTTTTTCCTGCTTGAGTATGAGAATGGAAATACTTCAGGTTTTCATGGTTATGCATTGAAAATTTAATTTTGTTTATTGTTTTAGAAGTACATATTTCTTTGTGTGTTCATGCTCTTATATATGTGTGTGAGTATAAAATTCCATTTTTCTGAAATACTTTAAAAAAAACCCATTCATAGTAAGTGGCTGTGCTGGGGTATTTTAGAAGCTATGTGATGATAAGTGTACCGTAACAATATATTGACTGTATAGTCTAATTGAATCACTCCCCTGCAATTTTTCCTGTGACTTTAAATGGTTTAAAAATGTCCTTTTTTCAAAGACTTGAGAAAGGGTTGCTCTAAATGTAGTGTCTTAATTTATATGCTTCAGGCTGTTGACAGTGGACTCAGAAAGTGATGCCTGCCAAATGCACACCAGAGGGCAGGATTGGGTAGAAAAATCTAGATATATAAAGCTTCTGGAGCTCCTACCCTTGATTTAAAATAATGGTTTACGTAACATCAGCTGTGGAATATGCTGTTACATTCAAGACCTTTTAAAGCCTTTTTATTGTTTTTCTGCATAGAGCTTAAACTGCTGTGATGTTTCATAATGGTTTAATGCAATGTTGCTTAAGCAAGATGTGGTGGTTGCATGCCACCTCACAGAAATCAAAATCACCTAACAGTGACTAATTTATACCTTCAGCAGTTTCTCCTGTTTAAAGCTCTAAGTGCGTAGGTGGATTTAGTGTGCTTATAATGGCTAATTTAATCTCTTTGAGGGGAGGAAAAGGATGAATATGGACTGGGAATTTTTTTTCAGGATGGGGGTGGAAAAAGATATTTTAGTTCAGTGCTGTGTTACTGGATACAGTATTGGATTCAAGAGGTTTTTCAGCAGTTTGTAAGCAGCAAGTAAATTGTATAATGGTGTGTTTATCCTTATTCAGATCTTGAAATGAGCATTACTACCTGGTCTAATTTGTTGCATACTGACCTTGTTGCTTTGTTTTCTACCATTCTTCACAGTTCCATCACCGGGACAGCTTCAACACCGAGTTCACAGTGTGGGACATTTTCCAGTGTCTGTCAGACAGCCTCTCAAAGCTACTGCCTATGTAAGCCCAACTGTACAAGGGAGTAGTACCAGTAGCAGTATTCCAGTGTCCAGCAACTCACAGTTGTACTCCAACACTGGGATCCCAATGCCAAACAAGACTGCTGGTCAAGGCATCGTAGGGCGCAGTGCTCTTCCAAGACCATCGCTGGCCGTGAATGGGAGTGGCATTCCCAGAAGTAAAATTGCACAGCCAGTTCGAAGGTGAGGGTTAAACAGGCCTCAGTCGCTGTGTAGATGGCTTAGGTCTAAATTGTGGAATTTTTTTACCTCCTGAATATGGAACTATAAAACATAAGCTTCTGTCTGTCTCCCAGTGCTGAGTCACTGAATGGGTGAAGATGGCTTGCCAGAAGTAGTGATGGACAATGCATGCTGGTAGCCCATAGTAATCTCTGATAATGGATAGTGTGTAATCACATGGGAATAGGAATGGATTGCCACCTGTCAGTGAGAAATCCAAACAAACACAAGCCTCATATCATTAACTGATGTGGCTTGCCTTCTCCCTGACTTGTGCCTACTGCTATTTCAGTCACGGCATGAGCTAATCTTAGAGTGCTCACATAGAAAGAACTGCATCCTGTTGTTGTAAATGGCAGTAGTATGTAAAAATGCAAGTTGTACCATTACAGCATTGTGAAAAAGGAAGTACCCTGGATAGTACAGTCATGGATTGAACCAGCATCTTTTCAATTCCAGCTGGGAGACAATAAGCACAGGGAATACTGGAATATCACGTAGTTGAAATAAGCTGTACTGTTAAGCAAATACAAATTTTTGCATGCAAAAAAAAAGAGAGAAATTCATCTTCAAATTAATTATTTTTAGGTCAAGCAATAAAATAGTCTTGAGAAAAGATGTGTTTTAACCACCTTATCATAGCTGGGAGTTAAACTCTTAGCTGCATGTTCTGTAATTAATAGGAATTAAGTCTTCTCAAGAAAAAACTTCTCTCAACTTGTGTTAACTCCTCCAACTATTTCTTTGCATTGCACACATCCCTCCTCTTGTGAGGGCCTGCTGTGTGGCCGCTTCATTTTCTGTTGGATGGACTGTCACTGTTTATCTCTCATCATTTCTGTGCTTTTCACTACATACTGGCTAGATCCAGAATAAGTTCAATTGTTCACATTCTCTCTTTGGTTGAGTTACTTGGGGATTACACTGATGTGACTAACAACAGATTTTGACCAACTGTGGTGAAACTTTGATAAAGAGCCGTCAGGTTTCTTCTTTGATGAAGACTGTACCATGAGATTTCTATTATAACCTTCTTTGCTCTCAGCAGGAAGCTCTCTCAGTTAGACTTCTTTATAGCTAAGGGTTTTCTTTCCTTTTTTCTTTTTCCTTTCCTCTACTTCATGTTCTTCTGCAGAGCTCTTAAATCTTTCATAGCAACATGTGAGGAAGCCTTTCTGGGTCATGAAGACCAGTCCCTTGCTATTTTGTAACTTCTCATACAACAGACAATATTAAAGAAAAACAAAATTAAGAGGTTTCAGTGGGAGACTGAGACACTGTACTCTCAACACTGTTTTTATTAGAAGCTGATTCAAATCAGTAACAAAGCTATTTACAGTCCAGGAAGTCTGGGCTCCTGTCTCCTTTCCTGCCAGTGTGCCTTAGCAGCATCCTGTGTTGCCATAGAGCCAAAGCAGTGATGGTTGAAGATGCATGGTCTTGGCACTGTGGGAGTGGGAGTTCATGGGACTTGAAACCCCCAGGTAGACTGGATGTCAGCCTGCAGTTCCTCAACACCCTTGTTCAGTTTTATAGATTCATTTGGGAAAACACAAGTGGTTTCAGTTTTCATGCAGACTTTTCTTGGAAGGAATTCAGTTGTTATTTTTTTTCACTGTGGTATTTTCTAATTAATGGCATTTCTGATTATCAGTTTAAGAGTCTTCTTTCAAACTTAAATTGTGTTTGTAGTCATGACTTGATTAAACATAGGTTTTTGGTTTTTTAAATAAATCAGATGTTTAGGGAGAAGTGCACACTCAGAGTAAATCTGTCTTCCTACCTTTGGCCATACTGTTAAGTAGCCAAGTTACTGGTATTTTAGATACATAAAATAGGTTCTTAGACATGTTATATTGGGGTGGATTAGGGAACTTGAGTATTTACTGCATAGAATAAAACACTGGCTGAGGGGGTGCTTTTAATAATTTGTAGTAAAAAATTATAATAGTCAAGATAAATAACTAAATATTAACTAGTTTTTTCCTTACCATCAGTGATTCAAGCAGTGTAAAAGAATTGTGATAGTGTAAACCATCTCTTCTTAGCCTTAGAATTCAGACAACACGTTTGTTGAGGGGGTCCACACAACCCTCATCCCTCTCCAACTCCAGTAGCAGGGCTTCTTGCAGACCCCACCTTCCAGTTCTCTGTGTTTTAACCTTACGCAGTGTGAACAGCAGAGGGGGCAGCTGCCCTTAGGGCAGGGTGAGCAGGGAGCTGAGTGGGACAGCTGGGCTGCCCTGCAGTGCCCAGCCTAGAGCAGCACTGATGGTGAGCAGGGTCAGCCAACGCTCCCAGTTTCCAGACAGGGCCACAGTGGTGAGACAGGTTCCAGCTAAAGCCAGAACGTCAGCCAGCAGCTCAGGGTCTGGGTCGTGCCAGATACAAGCACAAGTGTAGCAGGAATGTAAGCATACCTGTGGAGCCAGGGCTTGCTTATTCATGCTTTGTTGTACTGGAGCCAATTGCTGCTATCCAGCTGGTGATGGAAAAGTAGAAATGCACTATGGCCCCTCCAAAACTGTTGTCTCAAGCCACGTGATGTTATACCAACAGCTTGTGCTTGTTTGAAATGGTTTTCATTGCTGACACATTTTTCTGTCAGTGCCCTGTAGCAGAGATGCACCTCTAGATACATAGCAGTATTCTTACAAAT